AAAAAAGGGGGTTGCAATTTGCTGATTTTCATAATCAGGATTTGTGAGAACATACACACATGGAGAAAGGAAAGAGGGAGTGAGCATTAGATGAACCTCATTCTTATCTGGAAAGAGTTTGTAAACACACACATAAGCAGTTCAGTGTAGGAATACATCCAGCCCTGCAGAAAAACAAACAGTGATAGAGATGGGATACGGAAGGAGATTAATAGGGAGGTTAATACTCAGAGGTGGTTTTGCCAGGGTGTGGCTGCTTTGCATGTTATAGCTTCTTGGAGTCACAGGTGAGAGAGCTGAATGACAGGTGGACACCTGTGGATGATCAAAGGTGGATGATCAGCCCCAAAAAGGGTTCAGTAAGCCCCCACCAGAAAGGTGCTAGTTCTCGTTGAATACCCCATACACCCCCTTAAAAAGAAAAGCCCTACGAAGAAGAGTGCTGGAATGGTGGAGCTTGTGGTGGTGGTGCAGAGGAAATGCTTCTCACAGTTCCAAAGCAGAAAAGAGTGCTTGTGGTCACTCACAGACCAGAATATAGGCCAGGATCTTCTTTGATCATACCATCTTGAAAGAACTGAAAATTTACAGATCCGTAGAAGTATCTCTGAAAACAGCTGCACAAAACCCCTGAAACTTGGGGCAGTATATTCTCCACATTGGAAACAGATCCCTACCTTCACAAAGAGTTAAAAGGTAATTGGCTGGGATCATAAGCAAACTTTACAAAAAAAAAAAGTAAAACCACAGAATCTTTCTTTAGGGACAAAGAAGATCAAAACATACAACCAGAAGAAGACAACAAAGTCAAAGCTCCTACATCCAAAGCTTCCAAGAAAAAGATGAACTGGTCCCAGGCCATGGAAGAGCTCAAAAAAGATTTTGAGAAGTAAGAGAAGGAGAGGAAAAACTGGAAAGAGAAATGAGAGTGATGCAAGAAAATCATGAAAAATTAGTCACCAGTTTGCTAAAGGAGACCCCAAAATATACTGAAGAAAATAATACCTTTAAAAATAGCCTAACCCAAATGGCAAAAGAGGTCCAAAAAGCCAAAGAGCTGAGAAGAATGCCTTAAAAATCAAAATTGGCCAAATGGAAAAGGAAATCCAATAGCTTACTGAAGAAAATACTTCCTTAAAAATTAGAATGGAGCAATTGGAAGCTAGTGACTTTATGAGAAATCAAGACACTGTAAAACAAACCCAAAAGAATGAAAAAATAGAAAATAATGTGAAATATCTCATTGGAAAAATAACTGACCTGGAAGATAATTTAAAAATCATTGGACTATTTGAAAGCCATGATCAAAAAAAGAGCCTAAACATCATCTTTCAAGAAATTATCAAGGAAAACTGCCCTGATATTTTAGAACCAGAGGGCTAAATAGAAATAGAAATAATACACCAATCACCTCCTGAAAGAGATCCCCAAAGGAAAACTCCTGGGAATATTGTAGCCAAATTCCAGAATTCACAGGTCAAGGAGAAAATATTACAGGCTGCCAGAAGGAAACAATTCAAGTATTGTGGAAACACAATCAGGATAACACAAGAATTAGCATATTCTACATTAAGGGACTGGAGGGCATGGAGTATGATACTCTGGAAGGCAAAGGAGATAGGATTATAACCAAGAATCACCCACTCAGAAAAACTGAGTAAAATCCTTCAGGGGAAAAAATGGACATTCAGTGAAATAGAAGACTTTCAAGCATTCTTGATGAAAAGACCAGAGCTGAGTAGAAAATTTGACTTTCAAATACAAGACTCAAGAGAAACATAAAGAGATTAACAAGAAAGAGAAATCACAAGGGGACTTATTTGTTGAACTGTTTACATTCCTGCATGGGAAGATATTTGTAACTCATGAGACCTTTGTCAGTATTACAGTAGTTGGAGGGAAAAAATTATATGTATGTATATATATATAAATAGATAGATAAATAGAGGGCACAGGGTGAGTTGAAGATGTCGGGGTGATATCTGGAGAATAAAATTAAGGGGAGAGAGGGGATTATACTGGGAGAAGGAGAAAGGGAGAGGCCAAATGGGGTAAATTATTTCACATAAAACAGATAAGAAAAGGCTTTTATAGTGGAGGAGAAACAGGGGAAGGTTAGAGGAAATGAGTGAATCCTATTCTCATCGGATTTGGCTTAAGGAGGAAATAACATACACACTCAATTGGGTATGGAAATCTATCTTACCCTTCAGAAAAATGGGGGGGGAGGGGAGGGGAAGGGGACAAGAGAGCAGGGGGATAAGAAGGGAGGGCAGATTGGGGAAGGGGGTAATCAGAAGCAAACACTTCTAAGGAAGAACAGGGTCAAAAGGGAGAATAAATAAATGGGGGGTGGGTTAGGATTAAGGGAAATATACTTAGTTTTTCACAACATGACTACCATGGAAGTGTTTTGCATGGCTACACATGTATAACCAGCATTGAGCTGTGCCTTCTCAATGAGGGTAGGTGGGGAGGGAGGAAGGGAGAAAATTTGGAACCCAAAGTTTTAAAAACAAATGTTAAAAAAATTGTTTTCACATGCAACTGGGAAATAAGATATACAGGAAATGAAGTATAGAAATCTACCCTGCCAAAAAAAAAAATCTATCCTGCCCTAAAGGAAAATTGAAGGGGAAGGGGATAAGAGAAGGGGGGCGGGGGAGAAGAATAGAAGGGAAGGGATATTAGGGGAAGGGTATTCAGAATGCATGCCATCTTGGCACAGGGGTAGGGACGAGATGAGGAGAAAATTTGGAACTCAAAATCTTGTGGAAGTGAATGTTGAAAACTATAAATAAATTAACAAGACACAGAGACATATATTTTTGGACACAGTCAATGTGTAGATTCATTTTGCTTGACTAAGCTAAATTTTACAAGGGTTTTTCTTCCTTTCTCTTCCTTAACGGGGTGGGGGAGTTGGGGCAAGGTTGGCAGAAGAGGAAAGGTTAGCTATAGTGATGCCAAAAAAGAGGCAACCACTAAAACATTTTTTAAAATGTGCAGAAGGGAACAGAAGGAAATTCAAAAAGAAGAACAGGGCAGTTTTGAAAGTAACATATACCCTCAGATATAGCTCTAACACAAGAAAATTAGAAATAACATCTCTTGAACAAGGAAAAGATCACAATAGGTCAAAATACAGTTTGGAATTAACATTCTACTCCACTTAGTAGAACAGTATTCACTTAAATCTTCTAAAACTATTCATAAATTCCTTCTTTGAACATTCTCCTTGACTCAAGGGACCTCTTCCCTCTGATCAATACCCTACCTAATCCAGGGGTGGGGAACCTCCAGCCGCAAGGCCACATATGGCCCTCTAGGTCCTCAAGTGTGGCCCTTTGACTGAATCCTAACTTCCCTGAACAAATCTCCTTAATAAGAGGATCTGTTCAGTAAAACTTGGACTCAGTCAAAAGGCCACATCCAAGGACCTAGAAGGCCACATGTGGAGTCACAGGTGCCCTACTCCTACAATCCCTTCAGAATGGGGGAAAAGGGTACTGTCCTTAGGTAGGTCATACCCCTAGTTCCTTTAGGGAATGCCTGCAGACCCTGCAACTGGGGAGGCTAAGACTGGTGGATAACCTGAGCATGGGAGTTCTGAGCTGCAGCAGAGCTAAAACCAGTAAATGTCCACACTAAGTCCAGCACACACAACATGGAGTGCCTGCAGGAGCAGAGAGCCAATAGACTTCCTAAGGTAGGGCGAACAGGCCCAGGCCAGACAAAAGGAGCAACAGATTAAAGCTTCCATGCCGGCAGTAATAGGTTTAGGCCTGTGAGAGAGACTTCAGCACTTCCAGTCTGTGTGATAAAACCCAGTATCAAAAAATAAAATAAAATTTTTAAAAATTAGTCTCTGGAGTCTAGGGTTTTGTCCTTGACCTTTTCACATATCTAAAAGGAAAATTCTTGAAAGAATCTGTGATTAAAAAACACTTGCATCTTAGTATTTTCAGCTGAACTAAAAGGTTTTCTATATGCTTCCACCATAGTAGGTCAGTTTGGCTGGAAAGCAGAATATGTAAATGGAAAACCACACTGCAAGGGATTGTGAAGTGTATGGGTGGTAAGGAAGCGCCCCAAGGCAAGAAGGATGATGTCAAGATCACGGTCCTGACTAGAGGCAAGGATCATACAAACCGCGCACAAAACCTCCTATCTCTAAGCTGATCTTAGACAAACCATGACAAACCATGAAGATGTTTACTGACTGGAAGAAATAAAATAACTGGTTTTGGAAATACTAAACTTGAGATGCCAGCAAGACATCGTGGAAATATCAAGCAGGTAGCTGGAACTGTGTCCAAGTTCAGAGGAAAGGCAAAGACTGTAGGTATAAATCTGGAAGTCACCTACATCAAGGTTATAATTACTGGGAGAGAATAACAAAAAAGGGAATTAGAGATAAAGGTGGACATGAGAATAGAGGACAGACTGTAGAAGACCTTAAACACCTAGTTAAGGTATTTAGACTTTAACCTACAGGCAATGGGGTACAATAAAGTGTATGAGCAGGAAGGGAACTTGTGTTTTAAAATTTCAACAATTTCCTAACAGGTTTTAATTTAGTGATTTAATTTGAAACGATTTTAAATATTCCGAAAATAATGATCCATTCTTTGGAATCTATAGCAGAGGTCAACAACTCTTAGTTCTGGACATCCTATACAAACCTAAGTAACATCCATAGAACACAACAGCAAAAATACTTATTGAGGAGAAGTTATTTTGGAGTGAAAATGTCATGTGAAGCCTGTGGAAGGAAAAGTCTTTACCAATTTGGGAGGATGCTACTGGCAGAGGAGAGTGACAAAAGTAAAATTAAAGGGGAGAGAGGGCAGAGGGAGAGACACAGACAAAAGTGAAGAAAAGCAATAGAAGGAAAAAAAGACAGCAAAGGAAAAAACGGTCTACATGGTTGGAGGTTAGCAGACTATCACCAACCGCTGCCTAAATTTTTGATAATGAAGATTAGAAAAACCACTTACCAATAAGAAGACTTTTCAATCTTCTGTAGTCTTCACTTACATCAAAAGCATCACCAGCAAATATCAACATGGGTTTTGTTCCCTCAGGGCACTTGCTGTTCTAATAGAGAGAATTTTTTTTTTAAGTATACACCATTCCAACCATTGGTTGACCTTTTAAGCTTCCCATCCTTCCACATGATAAATTATAGCTTTTTATTATTACTATTAGCTATTATAACCATTTCTGTGAACATCTGCAAAAACAAATGTCCTCTGTCCTACTACCAGAGTTTATCCTTTCCTCCTTCTTCTTGGCATCCCTATTCTTCCCTCTGGTATTTTAGATCAACACTTCTCATCTGATCAATGCTGGGTATGTATCAGACCCTTCCTAACCAGTTCTGTCTCACTGCTGCCTATGCTGAGGCATGTTATCTGTACTTCTTGTTCAGTAATTTCAGTTATGTCAGACTCTTCATAACCCTATTTGGAGTTTTCTTGGCAAAGATACTGAAGTGATTTGCAATTGCCTTCTTCAGCTCAAAGGAAACTGAAGCAAACAGGGTTAAGTGACTTGCCCAGGGTCATATAGCAAGTAAGTGTCCAAGACTGGATTTGAACTTAGACCTGTCTCACTCCAGGTCCAGCACTCTATCCATGGTGCCACCTAGCTGAAATAAGAGCTTGTATGGATACTTAAATAACTGGAAGGACAGTCAGTGCTCATAGGTGTGCTGGGCCAAAATAACAGTGAGAATGAACCATTTAAATTAATTTACAGATTTAGTGCTATAGCAATCAAACTACAAAAGGACACTTCTACTTTATAGAAACAGACAAAATATAAAAATTCAGGGGAACAATAAGTCTAGAATCTCAAAGGAAATAATGAGTAGAAAAAGTTGGAATGAAAGGGGAATCATAATTCTAGCCCTCAAAATTATATTATAAACAATCATCATCCAAATGAGTAATGTCAAACTCAAAGAGAAATGGATCCCTTTGGATCACACTCTTAGAAAAATACAAATTAACATTTTCTATTTTATATTGTATTTTTATTTATTTTTTAAATTTTCCAATTACATTTTAATCTGGTTCATGTGGTAATTTTGTGGCAGCCAATAAGAGTTTGACAACTTTGATCTAAATTATTTGATACCACTTAAAAAACAGAAAAGTAAATCAATTTAACTCAATAAATCGGTATTCAGTAAACTCAAGAATAAGAATTACTTGGGAAAGAAATCCATATTTGACACTAACTGCTGGAAAAACTGAAAACCAGTGTGGCAGAAATTACATTTAGACCATAATTTTACACTACATACTACAATAAACTTAAAATGGATAAATGACTTAAGTATGAAAGGCTACACCACACAAAAAATTAGAAGAGAACCAGATCACAAAGTTGATGCCCATCAACTGAGGAACAATAAACAAATCATAGTACATGAATGTAATGGAATTATGTGCTATAAGAAATGAAAAAATATGAGAAATACAGAAAACATTCAAAGACTTACATGAACTGATGCAGAGTGATGTAAGCAGAGTCAAGAAAACAACATATTACAATAACTACAACAATGTTAATGGAAAGTACCACCACATAACATTCAAAAATGAATGTTTCCCAATTATAAAGAACAAGCATAGGGGCAGCGAGGTGGCGCAGTGGATAGAGTACCGTCCCTAGAGTCAAGAGGACCTGAGTTCAAATCTGGCTTCAGACATTTGACACTTACTAGCTGTGTGACCCTGGGCAAGTCACTTAACCCCAACTGCCTCACTAAAAAGAAAAGAAAAAAAAAAAGAACAAGTATAGCCTGAAACATAAATATAAAGAGACACTTCCCCTCCTCCTTTTGCAGAGGTGGAAGGTGTACATGCATGAAACACTCATCTTTTTCGGATTTTTTTGATGTATTGATCAGTTTTGATGATTTTTTTCCCCCCTTAGAAAATAGTCTTTATTACATGAGATTGGTTCTCTAGGAGAAGCACAAAAGAGAAGGAGAAACTTAGGACATGTAAACACAAAAGATATCAATTTTTAAAGAAGAGAAGCAGGTCAGGTACATTCTATAGGAAGATCAACAAGTATTTACTGAGCAACTACTATATGCTCAATAGCACAAGTACTGTACAACTACTGGGGATACAAAGAAAGGTAAAAATATCCCATTCCCTCAAGAAGCTCACAATCTAAAGGAAGACAAGGAATAGCAAGGAGGACAGTGTCACTGCTATGGCAAGGGGGAGAATTCTTAATTAAACAAAGGACAGCAGTAGTTAAAAAGATAAAATAGACAATTTGAATTACATGAAATTGAAAAACTTTTGCACAAACAAAATCAAAACTAGGATAAGAAGGTACATAGGGAAAAACTCTTTGCATCAGATATATGATAGAAGAATAAGAATCATTCCCTAACCGATAAGTGATCAAAGGATATGAATAAAGTTTTTGAAAGAAGAATGTCAATTATTAACACATGAAGCACTAATAATATGAGAAATTTGGATGAAAACAATTCTGAGGTTTCACCCCACACCCAGCATATTGGTCAAGATGAACCCCTCCAAAAAAAGGAGATTCAGTTAAAGAAAGACAGGCATACTAATACACTGTTGTAGAACTGTAAATTGGCTCAACCATTCTGGAAAGCAACTTGGAATTATGTGAAAAAAGTGTCTAACATGTCCCTCTGCCTACAAGTAGAGATCCAACTAATAGGCACAGACTCCAAGGAAGCCAGTGATAAAAAGAAAGGTCAGGATCTGTATACATCAAAATATCTACAGCAGCTCACTTAGTAGAAAATAAAGCTTTAGAAACAAAGTGGACAGACACTGACTGAGAGTGGCTCAACAAATTACGGCACATGAATGTAATGGAATACTTCTGTGCCATAAGAAAAATGAAGCTAAAGAATACTGAGAAGCATGAGAAGACTCCTATGATACAAAGTGAAGTAAGCAGAACTAGGAACTGAATATACACCATGACTATGACTATGAAGACGGTGGCAGTGTGACGCTAAGACTGCCAAGCAAGCACTCCTAGACTAATCGCTGAGCATCAAAGATGACTACTCAGCCTCTCCCCGGCACTTCTGCTCCTTGCTGGTTTGGGGAGTCTGATCTCTTCCCCTAGATCAGGCCTGTACAACGTAAGGCCCACAAAAGTGGCTCACAGGTGGTAGGTTGTGCAGGTCCGTCTGACGTCTGTTTTACACCCTCTCCATTTTTCATAGGCTGCCTGAAATCCTCTGGCAGGCTACAAGGGGAGCATAGGCTGTACGTTGTGCAAGCCTGTCCTAGATCCTCAATGACAACTATAAGTTCTGTGTATTTGCTTTAGGGTACCCTGCTACTCCTTGTACTTTGGGTTAGATCCATAATAAAAGGTCAACTGCTGGTCCTAAGTGGAATGCTTCATGACCCAGGGAAAGAGAAATACCTTAACAAAGGTATGATAGTTTCAGTAAATTACTTAGGTGCTACACCTGTACTGAAATATTTATAAAAGGTTAATTAGTTCTATTGGGGTTGTTTGGGAGTTAACTGAGGGAAAGTATAGTCTGAGTGGCTGCTAAGTAGCTCGGTACAATGGAAAGAGTACCTTTATTATCTCAGAATGTTTAAAGCTCAAGCCCTAACCCTGACACAAAGACTATGTAGTCACTCAGTCTTTCTGTGCCCAGTTCCTCACAAGATGCTTTGAAAAAAAAGTGCTTTATAAGCCTTAAAGCAGTATACATGGAAGGCTGCAATAATAACAACCTAGGTAATTATTATTTTATTATTACATAGAACTTCAGGTGAAAGGAATTATTATTTAAATGAAATCATCCCTGCTAAGCAAGAAGTGTGACTGCTAATCTAAATTACTTTGTATATAAATAGAAGTTATGTGATTATAGCAATTCTATGATCTATTTGGGTCAGGTTCAAGTGAGAGAAAGCAGGTAACAGTTAAATGAATAAAAATTAACTAGGGCAGTAAAGTAGAAATATTTACAAACTGCGGACCCCTTCTGAGAAGTCAAACAACTAGAGCTAAGCTGACCTGGCAGGAAGGGCCTCTCCCAACCCAGAAAATAATATGTTCCACTTCATTAACTTCTTGCTGTATTTGCAAGCATTAGGTCATACTCTAATCAGAAGGCTTCATTCAGGGTGTGACAACTTGAACTAGCCCAATAAGGAGAGGCAGGTTCTCAATATCCAATAGAGAAGTCAAGAATGATTGTTAAAATTGAACATTTCTCAAAACTTTTATTTTATTTTATTTTTATTTGGTAATGTCTAGGGGTTTTGTGATGTTTTTCAAATACATTCTGCCACTTGTGGGCTGGTAGGCCTGTACAGGCCACTAATCATAATCAACATCTGGAAGAGAAACTATGAAGTGCCATTAATGGCCTTGTGAACTATCACAACTAAACTAAACGGGCAGTATATCTCTCTTCCACCCATCCCCTGACCACAACACTAAGACAGGCCTCCATTCTTACCTGCCCTGGACTGCTTCCATTCTCTGCCCATTCGGATCCACCCTTCCCACTGCTGCCATATTTATCTTAGGATCACAGACTTAGAGGTAGAAGGGACTTCAGAAGTTAGAGAGTCCAATCTGAGGATCACATAACTCTAAAGCCCAATCTTCCCAACTCCAACTCCAGCATTCTCTATACTTCTTCTTCCTGATACGTAGATCTGGTCATGCCACAATCCTGCTCAAAACCCTTCAATAGCTCCCTGCTCAGTAACTCCTTAATCTGCTATTCATGCCCCTTGATAACACACAAAGAGCCAACAACAACAGTAGATTAACATTTATACAGCACTTCCTACGTACTGTGCTTTACAATTTTTGTTTCCGTTTGATGCTCACAGCAACCCTAAGAGGTAGGTGCTGTTATAATCCTCATTTTACAGTTAAGAAAACTGAGTCAGACAGACATTAAGTGACTTGCCTAGGGTCACAAAGGTTGTGAATGTCTGAGGCTGCATTTGAACTCAGATCTTCCTGACTCTAGGCCTGGTGATCTATTTACTGAGCCCCCAAGCTGACACGTCACATACAACTCCTCTCTTCATATTAAAGTCCAACTCAAATACCACTTCCTCCATAAAGTTTTCACAGCAGCCTCACCATCCTCATCTCTGAAAGGAGAAAAGAATGGTTTTTTTTCCTTTGGACTTCAAAAATGGCTTCTTTTGCACTTCATTAATGTATCTTTTTTTTGTATGGATCTGTGACTTTTCCGGTGTGGGGAGCTACTGTCCATAGCTTCTAGAATTATCTAAGGGCACTGAGAACATAAGTGATGTGCCCAGGGTCACAGAGCCAAAGTGTGTCTGGGGCAGGACTAAAGCCCAAATTTTCCTGCTTTTCATAAGACTAGCATTTAGATAGCACTAGTTTCTAAAGGCTTAATGAGTTATCTTCTCGATCCTCTACAGTGTGCTTTCTCCATCCCCATCCTCTCCATTGAGCCTTACACTGTCACTAATGTTTGATTTTGCACTAGTTTTATTTTTAGTGTGATATGTCTTTCTACTAGACTACCAACTTAATAAGAGTAGGTATGCCCTACTGAAACTTTGTATCGAACCCCTCAGCACCTTGCTTTGTCCCCTGTACACAGTACAGACATATATTCATCTTAATCAGCTGAATCATTAGCAAAAATAAGCAAGATCCCAGGTCTCTATTCAGTGCTGGCACAAGGCCCTGGGAACTTAAGAGTCCAGATTAACTCTCAAACCATAAATGCTTTACAAAATATTCCCTCATTCACCTTACAGGCACCTCAATCCCTAAGATATTTTGAAAAACATCAAATTTTCCTAAGCCTATCCTATAATTAAATTCATTTATAACATAAATTCTAAATACAGATATATTGTTGGTGTTGGTATTCAGTCCTTTTCAGTTGTGTCTGACTCTTCATGACCCCATCTGAGATTTTCTTGGCAAAGATACTAGAGTGGTTTACCATTTCCTCCTCCAGCTCATTTTACAGATGAGGAACTGAGGCAACAGGTTAAGTGACTTGCCCAGGATCACACAGCTAATCAATGTCTGAGATCGGATTTGAACTCATGAACGTGAGGCTTCCTGATTCCAACCCCAGTGCTCTATCTACTAAACCACCTAGCTGCTCCAAATGCAGACATAGCAGTAGTTATCTTCTTGGGCACTACTGCTTCAGGACAAGCAAAATATTTTTTCCCATTTGCAAAATGCTTCCTCTCTCCTCAATTTCTTACTGTTTGAAAATGGCATTTCTTAGTGCTCTAGGAAATGTGACAGATGAAATATAAAATAACTGAGGAAACAAAGGTTTGAGCTTCCAAGCATATCAATTTATTAAGCAATGCATGCCAACTGCATAACAAATCAGGACCAGGCTTCCCTAGCTTGTCACTGGACCCTGAATTCAGAGAGACAGATTTTTATGCACTAAAAGCAAACAATTAACAGGACATAAACCAGGCTACAGGATTAGGCAATCTGATTTCTAATTGGAGGAAAGATTAGGGGCTTTCCAAGTTGGGAGGGGAGAATCAAAGGAACAAAGAAACATTAACTGACTGACCCATACAGGGCCAGTTTTCAGATAAGACACATGGGTTGCTTGAGATGCCTAACTATGAGCAAACTCCTTGCATCAATCTTCAGATTTGACTTGGTTTCCACTCAGCATAACCTAGGTCCTTAGTTAAGGGTCTCTATGCAACAGGTAGAGGTGGCCCAGCTTCCTAGCCACACAGGGCTAGATTCAAACAATGTAAAAAGGTTTTTTCACAAGACAGAAATTAGACTAGATCTATAGTTGAACAGAAAAGGAACTGAGCTAGATCCAGAATTGAGTCACAAGATGGGGTCAGTTTGATTCACATAATTCTCACAATTCCCTCAGCAACTCTCTAAGCCTGTAAATCACAGAAAGGTAATGCCTGGCATTGATAACAGCAAGCTTCCTCATCTGAGGAATTCTCCCTACCAATGAAATCATAGGTCTAATTCCAATCCCTATCCCTTCAAAACAGCATACCCTGGACATGAGCTTTATGGTGGTGAATCAATCAACCCTACAAATAGTCTTGTCTACCTCTATGCTCAATGTCTTGAGCATTATTCTATTTTCTCTCTTCCTGTTGGGAAATAATTATCACCTTCTCAGAGCTAGACTAGGAATGCCTAAAAAAGGATCCCTGAGCAAAGAGTGAAATATCCAATGGTGTTATCTCCTTTGCAAAGCCTCCCAGATCTGGATCATTCACATCAAAGAGGAAAAGTGCCTAGTGAGACAACTCTGATGTACAACTGAGAAGGAGCATGACACTTGACAGCTCATTCAAGTTCCCGGAGTGTCCTTGGGTATTCGATAAACATCAAATGGTCTAGCTTTTAAACTGACACGTGGAGGTTATCCAAAAGAAGTAATGAGCAAAGAATCTTTAAATCAGCTGGATTTGACAGCAGCTGATAGTTCTCAGCCCTTTTTGAAAATCAAATAAGAATGCATATAACTTCTGCATCCTGTAAACTAGATCAATATCAGCTCTTCATACCAATAGTAAATCTTAAGTTAATACTAAAAAACAAACAAACAAACCATAAGACAAAGGAGCTGAGGTAAAAAGTTGCTCAAGATCACCAAGAAAAACAGAATGTAATTTTCAGGATTCTCCACTAGCTACAATATCTGTGTGTCTTCAAGCAAATGAAACAAACAAAACTCTCTTCCTGCCTTGGCTTCCCCATTTATGAAAACCTACACAAGAAACTGAGACATCTATGTGGAGTGAAAGCTGCTCTCCAAAAGACAAGCAATCAAAGAATATATATAAGTTTTTGAAAACTGACAAAATATGATCATTAATTATATGAAAAATCTTCCAAAGCACTAATAAAAAATATAAATTAAAAAACTCTTGAGGTCTCACCTCAGACTTTGAAATCTCTAAGATTTAGAGTCTTTCAACTCTAAATACCCTATGATTCTATAATTATGTAGATATGCCCATTTCTTATGCCTTATAGTATGTTAACAGAAAATAACAAACCTTTCTAGTCAGTTTAGTTTACAAAACTGTAATGTAACTATTCACCAGAAGATGTCACTAGGGCCAAAGCATCAATGTTATAAAAGGAATTTTTAAAAATCATCTTACCTTAATATCTTTAAGTGAGACAAACTTCTCAATACCTAGTTCAATCATATCCAGGATGTGATAATCATACATACGACCTAAAAAGGCAACACAGAAAGTTTCTACTTAAACATTCATTTCCATACATAGCCTTTTGTGTACACCAACTGGTATGCATGCTTAAGGTATCCAATAACAACAGCCTTTCCCACCCCGCTTCATTCCTGAAGGATACACTACCTCTTACTTAACCCTTTACCTCCTCTGTTTATGAGTTACATTATGTGGACAAAACTGCTAAATAACAAGTTAGAAGGATTTTTAAAACAATTACATTATTGCTGACACCTACTAGCTGTGTGACCCTGATTACCTCACCAAAATATATCTATATATATCTATATATCCATATCTATATATATACATATATATTATTGACTTAGCATTTTAGGTGTCTTCGTTTTTGAAAAACATTTTGTTATCATGTACACATGTATACCTAAACTCTTTTGAAATCATATATGCCTGAAAACCACATATACCTACTATACTAGACAATATAAGGGAGATATGTCCATTTTGTAGATGAAAACTGGAAGCTAAGGAATTATATGATTATATTCAATGGCATACAGAATTAGCTTTAGAACATACTATCTACTTCTAAATTTAGAACTTCAGAATACAACCTGAAAGATAGGGCATCATTGAGTGATGATCGTTCTCACATGCAGACGAATCTTACCTACGATGAGATTGTTTGGTCGCTTCTTATTATGAGACCCGAACATGAATAAGGAGCAGTCTGACTTCCTCGAGAAAAATTCCTATAAAGCCAAAAAAAGGAAAATGTTAAAGTTTATACATAACAAGATCACTGCAGCTAGAATAAAAGAGAAGCAACAGATTGTGAGGAAAGTTTGCATAAAGCAGCTCTGATTAAAGTCTGATATGATACCTAAAATCAACAGGCAATTGAGACACATACATAATAAAACCAAGAGCTACTCTCCAATAGATATGTGGTCTTGATCAGTGGTCAAAGCATATGAACAGTTTTCAAAAGACAAAATACGACCTATCAGCAACCATAAGAAAAATGTTCCTAATCACTAATAAAAGAGATACAGGCCAATAAACTTTGAATTTAACCTCATACCCAAATTGGCAAAGACTGAAACAGTTAATGCTTGAGAGTTCGGGGGAAGACAGGTACATGCTGTTATTGGAACTGTAAACTGGCTCTGGAAAACAACATAGAATTTGTTAAAAAACTTCAAGCTGTTCATACCCTATGACCCAGTCATCTCACTACTGGGTACATACACCAAAAAGGTTAATTACAAAAGAAAGGTAGCATATAAAACAAAATATTTACAGTAGCACTTTTTTAAAAAATTGAAACATAATAGCACTGGAACTAAAGCAGATGTCCATCAACAGGAGAATGGCTAAAGATACTGACATATGAATGTTATGGAAGTCCCAAGAACAGATGCAGATTAAAGAAAGTAGAATCAGAACAATATACAAAATGGTATTAAAATGTGAATGAAGAGAAGACTAAGAGGTAACAGAATTCAGATCAAATGCATTGACCAGTGATGCTTCCAGAAGATTGATTTTGGAACACACTTTCTTCTTGGCAGAGAGGTAGCGGCCCAGAATGGAATGGTACATACTATCAATCATCATCACTTTATCTGACAGTCTAGTTTAACATTAAAAAATAATGAGGGTACTAAGTGTTCCAAAAACACAGTGAATCAATAAAACATCTCAAAATAAAATCAAAGAAAGGGCTATTTTTGTTTTGACATCATAGTCATTTTGGAGTATCCCTTCCCTTTATCACATCTAACAGCAATGCAATGTTTCCCGCACACCTCCCTCCTCATTTCTATATATCAAAGAAATCATTATAATCACAGTTTTCAGCTGCAGAACATCACTTTTAGATAATGCACACACACATACATATACACACGTAAGGCCTCTGTGCTTCAGATCCTCTCATCTCACTTCGGGTTCCAGGTCCTCCTTGTCCCACTCCCACTAAATCCCTTTCTGTCTCATTTTCCATCATGCTTGGGGGAAACATACTATTCTCCTCATGGTGGAAAAGCTCACCTTGGCCCCTACATCAAGAACCATTTGCACTTAGATACTATGCTCTCCCACTGCACCTGAGTTAGTGTGAGTTTCTTCCTATTAGTTCATGATTAATTTCCTTTTCTAAACGTGATATCAATGACAATCATAAATACTAAAGCACCTCCCAAAACAGTATTAATACCTGAGCTAAAATATTTTTCATGAACTCCCTGCCCTTAGTGCCTCACAGTGATGTGGATATCAATGTGGACTTTTGAAGGCTAACCCTGCAGAGTACAAGGTCTGGCAGTTCCTATCAAGATGGAAATGGTTGCTTCCACCATAGACTTGGTGATATACCACATCTGTCATCTGAATACCAGCCTGGCCATGTCTGATGAGGCATCATAATGTTGGCTGCATGGTAATGGATTCTTCAGCTGTAGAAACTACCAAGGACTACTTACTAAGTCACATAAGAGCTGCAATGTATATCAGTGGAGGGAGTATAGGAGCAGAAGTGTCAAAAACGTGGCCCATGAAGCCCACAACATTTCCCAGTGTGGGATGAACAGATTAAAATGCAACTGGGCAATTTTTAACAACAGAAGTAAAATTGCAACAGAAAACAATGTTAATATGTGGTTTATTAAGTCAATATCCTACCCAAAGGGATCCTTATGCACAGTTTGGTGGCCCCCATTTCTGAGTTTGACACTGATGTGTCAAAGGTGATGAACTCACAGATCATTTAAATGAAGGAAATGGCTTTTCTCCAAAACAGATAACTACCTGTTCTATACATTCTATATATTTCATATGTAGTATGATTTGTAATTCCCCTAACCACAAATGATGGTGTACTACATTCAGCTATCCCAACAACTGCATCAGGCCCTAATATATTAGAGAAGCTGCTTTATACTTACCAGTGACGTCTGATCCTCAAAAGGTCTAGTAATGTTTTTTCTAAGGATATAAAAATGACCAAAAATATTAACATATTATTATATTTTATGCACCTTATTTTTCAACAATGACACTGAAAATTTATAACAATGAAATATGGTATATTGAATATATTCCCAATAATATATTATTGGGGTAAAAGGTAAGATTATTTGGGTGACTTAGTGTGTATTACTAGACTCCCCTCTAAAAGATATTACTAATTTGTAATTCTTCCAGCAATATACACTGTATGTTTCTCAACAGCCCTTCCAGGATTGAATTTTGTCCTTTTTTTATTATTCTTTCCCAGTTTAATGGCTGTAAACTGATACTTCAAATTACTTAATCAGTAAGTTTAAACATTTGCCCAAGAGAGAGCTTATAATATGTTCATCCTCTTTCTTATTTGTTTGCCTCTATCTTTTCACCATTTATCTAATGCAGGCCTGCGGGTTGCTTACAGGCTGTCAAAGGATTTTGGGTGGCTCATGAAAAATGTAAAGGATGTAAAACAGGCCTGTACAACATATGGGATTCCTTTGAATATACATTTTAGTTTTTAAGTTTTTATCTATTAAGTTTATAACATGTATTCTCCAACATAATTTGTTTAAGCTTTATACTGTTTGTTACGCAGAACTTAAGTGTTATGTAAAGTCAAGCACTATATCACATCATTAATTCTAATAGCTTAAAATGATTATCAATTACAAGGAGCTATAAAAAGGTACACCATTCCCCTTTCTTCTAACTTTTTATAGTTTGCTTTCTTATGCTTAATTATAAAAGCTCTAATATTATTTATAAGCAATTTTACCTGTAGCATTATATTACCATATGGAAAAACAGGTTGAATTATTATTCCTTTCTCCCCCTATGTCATCACTGTACTTAGAGAATATGGAAAATGCTTTGTTCCAAATAATTCAACTCAACACAACAAATATTTATTAAGTGACAGCCATCTCCTCTTGCTGTCTCATCCCTACCCTCTAGAATTCCTCTTGATCCTGGACTTCACTTACAATGCTTCCTATCTATTAATCTTCGGTGAGACCTAGTTCCCCTCTGACAACACTGTATCCCCTGCTATATTCTGCAGCAATGGCTGTATTTTCTCTCCCAACACCCTGGTCCACATTGGAGGGTGAGTCAGAATACTCCCTGCCCCCCCCCCCGTTAATGCCAGACTCCCCTTTTATCTCCTTCAGTCAGCTTCCTCTTCTGAAGCCCACTCAATCAAAATTTTCTACCCAATCCAAATTATAGTGACTGTAGCACATCCACCTCTAGGTCACTGTCCCTCCTGGCTCACTATCTTTCTCTCCTTCCCAACTCTTACCCTTTTACTACAAGGCCTTTAATATCCACATAGATGTTCCCTCAAACCCACCTCATTTCCCAATTCCTCAGGCACCTTAAATTCTATGATCTACTCCTTTACTTCACCTCAAACATATATGGGACAAATACACTCTGAATCTCACCATCACCCACAAGTCTTCCACTTCCTTAATTAGAAACGCCGACATTCCCCTATCTGACCATAACAGCTCTCACTCCACTTCTCCTTATACCTCACACCTCCTAAATTTATTCACCCACTATATCTCCAACGTCTTGATTTCCTCCTTCCCCCCCCAAGAACGTTCTCAGGTCATTACTCCTTAGGCAACTAAGGACTCAGTAGAGAGAGCACTGGGCTTAGGGTCAGGGAGAGCTGTATTCTAATCCAGCCTCAGACACTGGCTATATGGTCCTTTTTTGGAAATGTTAAAAGCTCCTACTGTACTGGTAGGTTCTTAAATTAGGTATCAGGCTTTATCTTCTAAAAGCAATTTACTACTTTACCACGAGGTCTGTGTGAGTAAATAAAATGTCTGCCTGTGGACAAAGTTTTTTTCGTTTGTTTTTAGTTTTTATAAACTTGAAGTAGAGAATATAATGAATTACAAAAACTGAACTCATCTTTCTCCCTAAACCCTACCTACTTCCAGACTCCCCTATTTCTGTCAAAGGCATAGACAGCAACCTTTCATTGTTCCCAGGTTCATAACCCTGACACGAATCTTAATGCCTCACTTGCCTTCACCCCACAGATCCAATCATTTTGCTAAATCTTGCTGTTTCTACCTTCACAACATCTTTTGCACCTGAACCGTTCTCCTCATGTACAAAGATACCACTCTAGTTCAGACCCTAATCACTTCTTGTCTAAATTACTGCAAAAGATTCCTAATTTAATTGGTCTACCTGTCTTGTCTCTCACCACTCCAATCTATCCAACACATTGCTTCCAAAATAATTTTTCCTGAATCTCCTATTCCATCAAATTCTGTGGCTTCCTCCTGCCGTTAGGATAAAATAAATATGAACTCCATTTGCTTTTAAAGCCCTTTATGACTTGGCCCCAATCTATCTTTCAAGCCTCACTGGACATTACTCCCCCTTTACCACTCTACTATCCATCCAAACTGGCCTTCTCTCTGTTCTTCACTGAGGACTCTCCACCTCCCACCTCCTTGTCTTTGTACATGCCTGGTACACAGTTCCTCCTCACCTTTGCCTCAGAGTCCCTCTCTTCCTTTATTTAAGAAGCTCAGTGGATAGAGCTCCAGCCTCGGAGTCAGGAGAACCTGAGTCCAAATCCGGCCTCAGACACTTACTAGATGTGTGACCCTAGGAAGTCACTTAACCCCAATTACCTCAGAAAAAAAAAAAGCAGCTCGAGGACCATCTTTGGCATAAAGCCTTTCTCTGATCCTTGCCAACTCCCAAACTATCCTGTATTTCATGACTTTGTGTATATTTGTCTTTATTCATTTTATAATAACAATAGTAGTTAGCATTTATACTACTTTTAGGGCTTGCAAAGCACTTCCACAAATATCATTTCACTTTATTCTGTCAAGAACTCTGAGAGATGGGTGCTGTTATTATCCCCATTTTATAGGTGAAGAAACTGAAGCAGACAATGGTTAAATGACTTGCCTAGGGTGACAGAGCTAGGAAGTGTCTGAGGCTTGCTCTGAATTTATCTGCCTGACTCTAGGTCTAGAACTCTATTTACTGTGCCACCTAGCTATATATTTAAAATATGGGTATATCCTTGGTGCTATCCCCATTACAGTGCAAATTCTTTGCAATTAAGATGTTGAGTCAAAATTTTCACTTGTATTCCCAATATCTAGCACAGAACAGGGAGCACATGTAGACACCTGCTAAGTACTTACTGAATGATAAAATGTGCCAGCTGTTAAGGATTGTGAAAACAGACAAGTCACGACCTTCAAGGAGCATACAGTTTACTGCGAGATTAGTTAATCAAAAGCTAATAACCATATCCTGGGTTTTTTTTCAAGCGATATAAGTATCAAATTTCAATTTTTTCTTACAGATACCATCTAAGTCTTATATTCCATATTACACCCACAGTTGTCAGACATTTTTTACATTATAAGATTAAATTTCATGAGGGTAAGAGGTCTTCTTAAATCTTTGTAATTCTCTTTCGGTACCCAGCCCAAAGCAGGTGCTTAATAAGCAGCTGCTTCTTTCATTCTCTATTTTACCTGTAAAGAAGTTGAAAGGAAATAAAAGTCAACACAGTAAGAGTGGTCCTTATATGAGGGAACAAAGAAAAAGAATAAGCCTGTAGTAAGAGAGTGAGCTGAAGTGATTCCAGGGAATAGAGGCTAAGATAAAGGAAAATAAAAGAATGGAGAATGCAGGATTAAAATGGCAGGGGGAAGGATGTGTGAGTATGAGAAAGGGGAAAACATTAATGAAGGTGCGGGGAAAAGTTAAAAATGGAGCTGTAATGAGGATTAATATGTAGATCATGTAGAGAGAAACTTAAAAAAAAACCCAACCCTTGCAGGGGATAGAACACTGGCCCTGGAGTCAGGAAGACCTGAGTTCAAATCTGGCCTCAGACCAAACACTTAACACTTACTAGCTGTGTGACCCTGGACAAGTCACTTAACCCCAACTGCCCCCCCCAACCCTCACAAGAAGCTTATTTGGTCTGATCTAGGTCCATTAATCCTCTTTAAGATGTTTTTTATTTGACCTGTCTTAAAGAAACTAGTTCTTTTTACCCTCTAATTCTACTTTCCGCATAAGGCTACTGCACAATATCAGACGCCAAATTGCATACTTGATTTTAAAAAAAAATTAAAACATTACTCACTTTTTATATAAAACACTATAAGGTTTCTTCAAAGCATACTGCAAAAGAGAATTTAGAGGCATGAAAACATCAGAATGATCTGAAATCTCAGCAAAAATTAAATTATTATAGTATTTATTGTTCAAGATTACTCCCATCCTTAGAGCCATGAGTTATTTCTTATCTGGACTACTAAATACTTCTGTCCCCAGATTTGTTTGCTGCTAAGATCAAACACTGCATCAATATTTCTTTCACCTATCACTTTTAAGATGTCATAATTTTTCAAGTATCATCCTTCCTCACATCACTTTGAATTTCCCTTCACTCAAGGTTTCAATATTCTTCAACAGTCCATCTAGTATAAATATGCCCTTTTATTTCTTGAAAGTAAAACCTTATTCTAATGAGAAATTTTAAAGAGCGATGTTGAAAACGTTCTCAATTACTTTCAGTAACTACAGAAATAAAGTTTTAGGTTTTTAAAATGCGCTCACCATATCTCTGAGTACTTGAGTAATTGTTGCATTTGCATTTCCTCCTTTAATAAGCATGGCATTTTTAACATTTTCATTGAGTTTAGGCTCTCTCTTCTCAAGGAATCTCTTCGCCCGTTTTGTTTTGGGCTTTCTGTAAAAAGAAATTGGACAATTTAGAAATCATTCTTGAATATAAGCACCATTTTTCACATTTAGGTCAAAATAATCATTTAACTAATGTGCATACGATTTCAAAAATTACATGAAGGTTAAAACATATGCTTACATTGATATTTACCAATCATGAATTACATTAATATGAAAAAATGTTTTTAAGGCAGATCAACTCTTATAAAATTGTGAAGGAGACAAATTCTCCTAAAATCCTATAATGATGATACATTGTGGAGTGGATATGCTCCAAGCCATCAAAGTCTATGAGGCAGAGAGGTCAGGAGGCAGTGCTTTCAAGACATGGGAGACAGCAAAGAGACAGAAACAAAAGATGAAGTGCAATGTATGAAAATAATGGTTCTTATGAATATGGGAAAGGGAATAATGTATAATGAGGCTGGAAAGATAGGTTGGAGCCAGGTCCTCTCACTCCAAATACTCTTCCCATTGTACCACATATTGTCTCTTTTTAACAGACACAAGTAGAGCAACAAGAAAATGACATAAGTATACTTTACCTAGATTTTGGAAAGCACTGACAAACTTTCTGTGGTGGGCTATGCATGAGTACACTAAGGCAGATTCAGAGCTAGGCTGAATGGCCAAATCCAGAACAGTAATTGATGATTCAACCAACAAACATCTACTAATTGTCAAAATGGACCATGTGAAAAGAATTACCCTAAATATTAGGCATACAAAGACAAAAATGATAGTCTTTGCCATCAAGGAGAATATGCTGGGGATGAGGGGAGGGCAAGACACACAGAATGTATGTGGAAAAGCAAATATAAAATAATTTCAAGAGGGAGAACTTTAACACTAAGGGGATTTTATGGTACCATTTCAAAATAACTTTCACAAATTAATCTAATCAAACAAAAAACAGAACATCCCCCACTAAATTTTTCGTTTCAGTCTGACAAATTGCCCAAGACTCAGCTCTTGAGCTCTGTTTCTGCTAGTCATCTACTCCCATAGCTTCAGCTGGCACCTCTAACAGATAATTCCCATATCAGTATTATATCTTTAGCCTTAGTTATCTGCATTCCAGGCCTGCATTTTCAACTAGTAGCTAAATCTCTTTTCCACTTAGATTTTCCAACATTCTTCAAACTAAACCCACTCAAAACCAAATCTATCTTACTAAAACTGAACTGCCCCTTAACTTTCCCATTTTACCACGACCCCAGTTACATAGGCATGTAATGCTGGTATCATCTCTGATTCTGCTCTCAATCATTCTGGACATCCAATCAGTTGCTGCTTTTGATAATTTTACTACTATACTCTCTTTCCTACAGGTCCCTACTTCTCCACTCTGACCACTGTACTTCAGGATCTTTTCATCTAGAATTAGGAATTAAAACTTGTGATTTCACTAGTATAGTGAACTTCACAGCTGAAACCTCGTACCAATGTACTTTCTCTGCAATTCACAGTTTGAGAAAGCTTACTAGAGAGCTGAGATTTACTTGCCCAGGATCACAAAGCTTGTGTTAGAGACAGGACTTCAACCCAGGTTTTCCTGGTTCTGACGGAAATGGGAGGGAGGGGGAGAAAGGGAGAGAGAAAGAGGATCTGAAAATAACACTTTTAATAATAATTTTAAATTATTCAATTAAATCAATACTTTGAGAATAATTCATAAAATGATTTTTTAAAAAAGATCTTAACATTTGCACTACCTATTCGGATAGACTTAATTTTAAGGAAAGGCTAAGTATGGACAGCTATTCTATGAAAGGAGGCAGAGGAGGGGACATTTTATGTTCTCCATCTCTAATCTCACATCGTGATAGAGTAACAGAGTAAAGACCTCATTCACTTATTTATTCATTCATTCACCCAACAAGAATTGAAGCGCTTATGACACACCAGGCACTCGGGGGTAGGCCCTTGGGATACAAATACAAACACAGTCCGGTCAAACACCACCAGTTCTTGCCTCCAAAGGTTTATCCAGCCAAGGATCTGACGCTCCGCAGAACGGGGGCACAAGTTGGGGAGGCCTGGGTTGTTTTTCTACAAGGCAGTTGCATGGGGGAGAAGAGAGAAAAGTGGAGGAGCACGGGATGGAAGGAAGAAGTCCGGTAAGAAGAAACCAACATCTCCCTTGGCGTCCCCATCTCATTATTCTAAGTATTGGCATCCGCCAGAGCCCCCCAGGTCTGAGGGATCGCGTCATCCGCGGGCTCCCCCAGGCTGGCCACTGCCGGACACCCTCCGGGACTAGAGGAAGGAAAAGACGCTTGGAGGGCCTACGGATAGGGTTCAAGATAAAAGACTTCCCCACCACCTCCCACTTACACTACGCGGTCCAATTCGGCCATCGCTCCCGACAGCCAGGACGCCGAGATACACGTGCGCCGCCGGGGAAAAAGAGTATAGCCACCACGGTGCTCCCACCTCGGACTCCTGGAGGCGGAACCGGAAGCGGCTTGGTGACGTCACATCCTCCCGCTCCGTTCCAGACTTGGGCGGTACCGTCCCATAAGGCTCCGCGGGAGAAAGAGAGAACTAGACATGTGCTGGCGGCCATTCTTAATGAAGAGTGAATGGCGGCCCCTGGTTGCTATGGATACCAGTAACCTTCTTCCCTACAACTGCGCAGTAGGAAACAGCCTGCTCCTCAAAGTCACTTTGGGTTTAAATGCCTCCATCTGTGTGAGTTCGAGAAATGTCATGTTTCATGTAGGGTGTGTTTTAACGTAGGCTGTCCTGTAGGGAACGAGAATAAGTATATCACGTCTACTACGAAACTGGCACTGTTCTAAGAGCTTTTTTTTTAAATTGCTACAGTAAAACAAGGCCATTTTATTATTGTTAACACTTTTCATTTCTAATTTTAACTGACTGTCTTATTCTCCTCATCCCTTGTAAGTTTTCATGTGAGCAAAATGTTTAAAAATAATTTGGAGCACATTTCTTTGTGCTATAATCAGTCAAAAATATAGAAAATAAACTTGTATGACATCAGGCCTACTTTTCTATTTTCATCATGAGAGAAATCTTAATACTTCTAAAGAAAAAAATTTACAGACACAACAAATATTTTTAAAATTGGGAGTGTTCATTTTTGATGCCTTTAGGAAGGAAAGTGAATACTGAATCAATGCATTACGTTTCAAAAACTGTGACATACCTTATACGAAGTACATTCACAGATAATTCAGCATTTTAAGAGCTTTTAAAAAATTTTATCTGATTTGATTTTCACAACAGCTCTGAGAGGCAGGTACTGTTATTACCCTCCTTTTGTATATAGCACCTACTATATAGCACCTACTAATAAGTGATTTTTTGAAACATTATCTAATTTGATTTTTTAAAAATATTTTTATTTTGTTAAATATTTCCCAATTAGATTTTTTCTTTTAACTTCCATTTATTCTGAATTGATCTTCACAACAATGCTGATAGGTAGGTACTATTATTACCCTCATTTTATATAACACCTTTTATGTGCCAGGTACTGTATTAAGGGCTTTTAAAAAAAATCTGATCTGATCTTTTTGATATGTATTTTTTTATTTCACTAAATATTTCTCAATTACATTTTAACATTCATTTTTTTAACAACTTAATTTGATCTTTACAACAATCCTGGGAGGTAGATGCTATTATTATTCCCATTTTGTATAGTGATTAAAAAAAAACCTGATATGATCCTCACAATAATCCTGAGAGGTAGGTGCTATTATTATCTCCATAAAGCAGTTGAGGAAACTGAAGCAAACAGAGGTTAAGTGGGATAAGCAGCTAGAAAGTGTCTGAGGCTGGATTTGAACTCAGGTCCTCCTGATTTCAGGGCCAGTGCTCTATCCACTGCACAACCTAGCTGCCCCCTAACTTCCCTTTTAGGATAAAAATATCAAGAGATTATGAGTCAGCTCCTCCAGCAATATGTCCACTTGATGGTCACTGGACAAGGATCTCACTTTTTAAGTACCAACAGTCAACTTAAAGTTTATTGACAACCTAAAACCTGAGGAATTTTTAGCAGCTTCTGCCCCCTGTCTGCTACTCTTCCACTGTCATTGCAGAAATAGAAGAGGGCTTCACCAGACTGAGGACCATTTTTTATTCTTCTCTTTCATGAGATACCACGGCTATAAAAGTTTCATTACTAGATGAACAGTCTACTGGTGTTAGGTCTCACCATGATTAACTAGGCTTGGTCCTTGACTGTTTGTTTTTTTGTTTAACCACGCCTCTACTCCAAGCCTTCCCATCAGGAGCTTTCCTCCCAGAGTTTGTGTTTGAGGGGCGTAGCCTCAAGCACTCACTGTAAAATATGGCATAGGACTTTAGTGAACAACAAAAGATGGACATAAACATTCTAAGTGATATATACGTAAATTAATGGGCACCTATGCAGTCATGTTTTTTCTCATTTTGTGCAACTGCACTGTTGATTCCAGGTGTTTTAATCCCTCACAATCTAGGTAAAGTGGAGGGAAATGCCTTCACATTTGAAATAGATCAACTATATAGGCAGACCCCTGTCAAAAAGTCTCCCACACTTATTGCAGGAAGATTCACTTGGATGACAGATCCTTTTTTAAAATCCATGAGCCCTGTGAGCTAACCTATTTCACACCCTAGTATCCATTACTTTAATCTGATAGTAAGATTAGCATTTAGCTGATTGTTGTAGCTTTCCAGTGGAGTTTGGACTGGATTAGGAAGACAGAGGAAGGGAAAGAGAAGAGGCACTAAATCTAGAGGCAATAAAACAACTAGGGTGTGCAAGGAGAAGAGAAATTCTGGAGGGCAAAGTGGGGTGAATTACTTAGGATAGTCATTAATTAGCATGAAGGGAGGAAAGAAAAATGAGAGAGGAACTAAAATGCTGTACTTTGTCCTTTTCTTTTTCTGGCGATTTTTCCCAAGTCCCTAGTGGCAGCTTGTGTGCTAATGGTTAAGAGATGAGGATTAATTTTGAAGACTGAAAAACCTCAAATCTTTAATTCAGTTTGTATCTCCCTATCCAATATCTAACCTTCCTCCACTGGAAGAGGAAGACTTAAGGTAAAAAGGACAAGAGATATATGAAAATGTCTCCCAATTCCCATAATTAGTCATAGCATTTGAGGAATTTGTTCTTTGTTCTCACTGAGTATCCAATGGCTGGCTCCTACCTTGACTACTGTTTTTTCTGGAAGCAGTCATATGCAAATTTCCATTACAGATTTTAGGTGCTCAATAAATATTTGGTGACTACTATGAAATTTAGAAGTTGATTGCTTTCTAAAAAATTTCATCTTTCCCTAAAAAAGTCCTAAAACTTGCTTTTTCTCTGTTCAAATGCATTTAGTTGTGAAATACATGCCTTTCCAATTAAGATTCTATGATACTTTTCTTTCTTTTTTTTTTCTATGATACTTTAAAGAGGAACTTATGAGAAGATAGCAATCTGAAGAATCAATAAGAGAATACTTTCCAAGTGGCATACTACAGCTGGCTACATGGTCTGGCTCTTTGAAAATCACTACTACATTTCATGTGAATATAAAGGACAAGAAGGAAAAACTCAAAGTAGGCACTGTGACAAAGGCATGCCAGTATGTTAATGGAAAATTATAGTCCCTTAAATGGATTGTTTGCACATTAATTAGGATATAACATAATTAGTTACATAATCATGACAAAATCAGTTGAACCTATGGCTTAACAGGATAAACCACTATTGGACAGTATTAAAAAATTTCTGAAAAACAAGACTTTATTTTATTATATACCAAACATTATTATAAACAAATGAGAAGATAGACTGCATCCTGTTCTCTACGGTCCTTTAAGCCCCCTAAAATAGTGTGTTTACCTACACACAATACCCACTACAGCCAAAAATCTCTAATTTAGAGAATCTGAAGGAGAGGAATAAAAAAAAATTTTTTTAAAGAACTATCTGGTTATTGCTTGGTCCTGACTTATCCAATATGCAGCTATACTATGTGTATGGTCTATAGTCATAGAATCCATGAATACATGAAAGCTATACATTCAATTCTCCAAAATCAGAATTCCAGTTATGCCTATGCCTAGAACCTACAGGAATGATGTCACCTAGGAGTGGCTTCTAAGGCAGGCTCCTGAGTTTCCATAGAAATAGAATCTTCTGTTTCAGAAGAAGGGCTATCAAGAAGAGGACCAGCATCCTCCATTTCCAAGTGGTCTGATTTCTCCAGTTCACTGCCCATGCCTGTGTTCTCTTTGGCTTGTATCTCCTGTTCTTCCATTTCCAAAGTTTTGTCTGGGGTTTGAGCTGCAACTTCTTCATCTTCCTTCTGCTGTGCAAAGTTACAAATCATGTTGGGTCTATACGAAAAATCATTGTCCTTGATCTGCAGCCATTCCACACCACCTGTTCCAGAAAAGAAATAATTATGCCAAGAAATAAGGATGGAGAGGAGGGAAAATTTATAACATTTTCCTCAATTAATACAATCTTTGACTGATATTCCTAAACAAACATGTCAAAGGAAACATACTACCCTAAACACATCAAGGCATATGTGTCACTGAATACTGTGTTTACCTGCGAATCTTGGAAATGTGAGTGCCTACAAAGAAAAACTACATAAAGCCAAAAAGAAATTTCAGTTCTTTTTTTTTAAAAAAAATAGGAAGATGACATTTTACCTATCTATCACAGGCCTTTTGCTAAAGCGCTTAATCCATTGTCTCAAAGTGATATCTTTAACTAGAGGTCTCCTGAAACTGCCTCTGACACCAATGATCTTCTAATCATCAAATCAAATGATCATCTTTAGAGCCTTCATCATGTTTGACTTCTTTGAAGCATGACACTATTGACACATTCTCCCATCCCCACATATTTTGGATACTCAATCCTCCCTTAGTTTCTGAAATATAACATTCTGTCCTGGTTTCCCTACTTCTTTTACTCATTCCTTCTCTCAATTATTGTTACTTCATCTTCTTTCCAACCTTTTTTTTTTATGTTTTTTTCCATATGCTTTTGAGTTGAAAATTTTTCTCCCCCCTTCCTCCCCATCACCCTCCCCAAGAAAGCACACAATCTGACCTAGGCTTTACATTTACATACCCATTAAACATATTTTCACATTAGTGAAGTTGTAAGTAAAACTTAAAACCGACAGGAGGAACTATCAGAAAGATGAAACAAAACTCAACAGAAGGTAAAAATAAGTGATAGTGATTCGACTTCCATAGTTCTTTCTTTGGATGTGGACAGCATTTTCCATCCTGAGGCCTCTGAAGACGTCTTAGATCCTCGTAATGCTGAGAAGGGTTCAGTTTAACATTCTTAGTCATTGCATAACGTGGCTGTTATTGTGTACAAAGTCCTCTTGGTTCTGCTCACTTCACTCAGCATCAGACCATATAAGTCTTTCCAGGTTTTTCTGAAGTCAGCCTGTTCATCATTTCTTATAGCACAACAGTATTCCATTACATTCATATACCACAACTTGCTCAGCCATTCCCCAGTTGATGGGCATCCTCTCAATTTCCAATTCTTTGCCACCACAAAAAGAGCTGCTATGAATATTGTTGTACATGTGGGTCCTTTTCCCATTTGTTTGATCTCTTTGGGATATAGTCCTAGAAGTGCTATTGCTGGGTCAAAGGGTATGCACATTTTTGTAGCCCTTTGGGCATAGTTCCAAATTGTTCTCCAAAATGGTTGGATCATTTCACAACTCCACCAACAATGTACTAGTGTTCCAATTTTCCCACATCCTCTCCAACATTCATTATTTTCCTATTTTGTCATGTTGGCCAATCTGATAGGTGTGATGTGGTACCTCAGACTTGTTTTGATTTGCGTTTCTCTAATCAATAACGATTTAGAGCATTTTTTCATATGACTATAGATGGCTTTAATTTCTTCATCTGAGAACTGTCTGTTCATATCCTTTGACCATTTATCAATTGGGGAATGGCTTGTGTTCTTATAAATTTGTCTTAATTCTCTCTATATTTTAGAAATGAGGCCTTTATCAGAGAGACTGGTTGTAAAAATTCTTTCCTAATTTTCTACCTTCCTTCTAATCTTAGTTGCATTGGCTTTGTGCAAAAACTTTTCAATTTAATGTAATCAAAATTATCCATTTTGCTTTTCATAATGTTCTCTATCTCCTGTTTGGTCATGAATTCTTCTGTTTTCCATAGATCTGATAGGTAAACTATTCCTTGTTCTCCCAGTTTACTTATGGTATCAGCCTTTATATCTAAGTCCTGAACCCATTTTGACTTTATTTTGGTATATCATGTGAGATTTGGGTCTATGCCTAGTTTCTGCCATACTCTTTTCCAGTTTTCCCAGCAGTTTTTTTCAAAGAGTGGGTTCTCTTTCCAACCTTTTAATTACAATATTGCCCAATGTTACATTCTAAGCCCTTTTCTCTTTCCTCTCTATATTTCATTCTGTGGCTTCAGCTTGCCTTTAAGCAGATCCAAGTCTTCAGTTCTGGCCATTCTCCCAAACACCAGATCCAGATACCCAAGTAGCTACATAACGTAGGTCTGTAAACTTATTAGGATGATGTAGAGCTGGAAGAATTGTCAAGATCATCTAGCCCAATACCTTCATTTTATAGTAAAAAACAGGCCACACAGAAAAGAGGTGATGACTAAAATCACAAAGATAATAAATAACAGAACTGGGATTTCCAAATTAATGTCCTACTGGCAGATACCTCAAACTCAATATGTCCAAAAAGCTTATCTTTCCCTTAAAACCTTTTCCTTCTTTTATAACTACTTTTATCAGTGTCACCACTGTTCGCCTAAATTCCTAGATTCAAAACCTCAGTGTGATACTTTAACTTTCCTCTTCCTCATCTTTCTATATAAACAGTTAAGATTAAATTTTTTCAATCCTATCATTGCAATTATTCTCAAATTATTCTCACATCCCTTTCTTTCTTTCTATTCCCACTCCTACTTTCTTAGCCTGTTACGTCACTGAACTATTGCAATAGCCTCCTGAAGGTCTTCTGCTTCTACTCTTTCTTGTCTGCTTAATCCATCTTTTTTAAAACTGCTGCCATACAGATCTTTATTCACAGCTCTGGTTACATGACTTGCCTGCTCAAAATCCTTGAACAGCTCCCTATCTACCACAAAAATTCAAAGTCCCTTGCCTAGTGTTTAAGGCACCGACCTTCCTACCTTCAGAGTTTTCTCCTATTACACCCTTTCATCCCCTCTAAACTCCAGCCAAAAAGGACCACTTTACAAACTCTATGCTTTCCCAACCCTATGCCTTTTCTCATATTATTTCCTATCCACAAAATGCTTTTACTCCCACTGCCTAAGGAATTCCTAATCAACTTTTAAAAGCCCAATTTAAATGCCATTTCCTCCATGAAGCACTTCTCTGGCTCCCTAATAAAGTACTTTTCGCCTCTCTGTTGCACTAATGTGTTTACACGTAACATATCGTATCATCAAAACACCGTATCTTCTCTAGGACAGAACTCTGGAAACTAATTCAAATATAATTTCTTGGTAAGCAATGAAATAACTTGTATGCTCCTGATAGGTTACTCTGTATTGAGATTTAAATCTGAAATAAACCTGAAGGTGTATATTTGTATACAGTGCTCATAGCTATTTCACTAATTATGATGCAATATGCTTGAATTAAGCATTATCCAGACTTTACTATGGTAGCTCCTTGAAGGCAGGGACTGTTTTTGCTTTTTCTTTATATCCCTAGTCCTTAGAATAGTACCTAACACAGAGTAAGCACTATAACAAATGCTTTTTGATTGACTGATAAGATATAAGTCAAGCACAAATCACTGTTTTCTGAAAATGAGGCATACCAACCTATGTTTTCTTCTCCCTCCTTCTTCTCAGTCAGAAGTGTTCTCGTCATACTCAGCTTCTTCATTGTGTGGCACTTATATTTCAGCTCTATTTTATGGTTACCTTCTGCATCAACTAAAAGCAAAGTTACCTCAATTACTATGATGTTCAATTTCATATGAAAAGTTTAGGCTCTGTGGCCCTAAATTTAACCTGGGAAATCAGAGCGATTACTTACCCTGATCTGTATTTTCTTCAAATACAACACAGGTCCCAAGAGTATCTACAGGAAAAGTATAGGACAATTTATTGAGAAATAAGGTTCTTCTCAGAGTCACATAATTAAAAAAGAGCTTTGGCCAGTGACCTCTTCCTACCTTCATATTCCCCAGCAAAGACATAGCTGTCCACTTGAAGAATAGGTCTCTCTGTATCAATGCCCTATGAAGTGAACATAATAAAACAGTCAGAACTAGAAGAGACTTTAGCAGGTTACCTTGTGGGAAACCTTTAACACATACATCCTCCAAATAAGTACTCTAAGAAATAGTACTGCTCTAGACATAGTAGTTGCAGTCCAGAGAATACTTCTTTGGTGAACTTTCTATCTATTCCATGTAAAACCAACTCTGAAAGATTAACTAAAGGACAGTTAAAAAGTTGTCAACAGTACCAGTTAACTAAAATTTCAAAGGGAGGTGGGGAATAAGTGACAACTCAGCAGCAAACAGTCCATAAACATTTATTAAGCATCTACCACATGCCAGGCACTGTACTAAGCACTAGGGATACAGAAGGAGGCAAAAGACAGTCCCTGCCCTCAAGGAGCATCATTTAGGGGAAACAATAAGCAAACAAATATGTTCCAACAAACTACAGACAGGATAAATAGGAAATAATGAAGAGGGAAGGACTAGAGTTAAGAGGGTTTGGGAAAGTCTTCCTATAAAAAATGGAATTTTAGTTGGGACTTAAAGGAAGCCAAAGAAGCCAGAAGGCATAGATGAGTAGGGAGTGTATTTTAAGCATGGGGGATAGCCAGAGAAAATTCACACACCCGAGAAATTTCTAAGAGATATCTTTTCCTACTCAGTCTCCCCATTCTTCTCCATGCTTATCTCTGTTTCCCACTGTCTCCTCATGTATCTATCCTCTCCCACCCCATTCGTTCCTCTTCAGTAGCAGCTCAAGACTAATACATATTTTACATTTTTCTATTGTCCAAATAAATTGTATTTCCTATTTTTAGTGTAAAATAACAGACCACTTAATATTTTATTATTCCCTTAAAGTCCTGATATATAGCTCTTAAATAATTTTGAGGAGGGTTAGTAGATAGAGAGAAGGCTTTACCTCAGATTAAAAAAAATGGTCTGTAGCCCTGACTTAAATTATATGCTATGGATGACTGTTAATTTTAAAGATCTATAGGAATACAAAGTCCACAACTCAGGTATTTAATCATATTTCACAGTGATTTACTATTTTAAGGATAATTATTATCTCCTACCACCTATAATTAATTTTACATAGCAATCATCACACTTAATATAGAAATTCTCTATAAACAAAATTTAGCAATAAGTATAATTAAATATTTAGCTGCCAAAGCACTCATGATAACTGCAGCTTACATTTATACAGTTCAAAAACTGCCTTGGACACTTACTCTATCTGGGTGACCCTGGGCAAGTCACTTCACCGCTGCCTACTTCAGTGTAGAGGGCCGATCTTAAGAGTCTGATACGGGTTTAAGATCCAGGACAGAGTTTGACCTTTGCCCAGGCTTTCACCCAAAGGGCTCAATAATGAAGAAGCACGGCTCTCCATTCTCTCCCTGTTAGGAGGTTCCTGAGACATTCCTTCTCACTCTTTGAACCTTAGATCTACATATTCACTCCTCTATACAGGCACCAGGAAAAAGCCTTGGAATTTACAACTCTATCTAGGAACTCTGATAAGGAGGAAATGTATGTTATCACATCCTTAGCAGATGTTTTGGGAGTGTCTCACAGGGAAGACTCTTTGAAGTTAGGATGGATTTTCTCTATATGTCCTGTACCCTCAGAAAAATAAACTGAGTCAGTTTTTCTGTTCTGCCTGGCCCACTTCATGTCTTATTTCATGCCTTTCCATTCGGGGTACTATCTGGTTGTGGGCAACACTTCAGTTTCCCCATCTGTAAAATGATGATAATGATAACACCCACCTTGTGAAGATCAAATGAGATAATAATTGTACATCATTTCTCAACTCTTAAAGTGTTACAGAAACATGAGTTACTGTTATAGTGCTTAATGGTTTACAAAATGCTTCCTTGACAAGAATTCTGTGATACGGGCAGAACAGATATTAATTCTTATTCCCATTTTACAGAAGAAGAATCTGAAGCTCAAAAAATTGTGACTCTGCCCAAAGTCGCACAACTAGGAACTCTCAGAACAAGGACTCAAATCCAGCTTTGCTGAATTTAAGTTGTTTTCTTTTTCTTTTCCCTATATTCCGCAGTTAATAAGATTTTAATCCTGTTTTCAGTTTAGGAACAGTTTAAACAAACCATAAAATGCTGGATACTCACCAAAATCTTGCATTTGTTTCCACATCTTGTTAAAAACTCTGAATCTATAATTCCTGATAATTCCACCATAGCCAATTGCTCCTGGAGGGGGAAAAGGAAAAGGTGTTAAAAGCTAGTAGTCCACAAAGTAGATGTCCATTTTGGGGGGAATGGCTAAATAAACTATGGTACATGAATGTATGCTGTAAGAAATATCAAACACTACGAATACAGAGAAGCATGAAATTTATGAGGAGGTAATCAGAGCCAATAAAACAATATGCACAATTACTACAAAAATGTAAATGGAAAGAATCACAGAACAATTAGAATGAATGTTGCAGAATTATTAAAAAAAAGCATAGTTACAAAGAAGAAAGATGAGAAGATACCTCCTTCCACTCTTACAGAAGTGGGAGATCCACAGCTGTGGAACACTACATATATTTTCAAACTTCTTTGATGTATTGATGGATTTTGCTAATTTTTTCTCTTATTCCTCTTGATATTTTTTTTCTTTTAAAAACTACTCTTTACTATACAGCATTGCCCTCTGGGAGAGGGAAGTGGAAAGAATACTGGGAGAAATGTAGATGATGTAAAAACAAAGGTTATCAATAAATTTTTTTTTTAAAGTTTGCCACTGTGGTACAATACAGCTGATGTGGATTCAGAACTCTGCCATTCACTATGTACGTAATTTCCTCTATACAGCTGCCAAATTCACACTCTTCAGAACATAAATCTTACCATATCATTCTCCTGAGCTTCAATGACTCCCTACTGCCTTCAGGATAAAATACGAACTCCTCTGACTTTTGAAGCCCTTCACAATCCAGCTCCAACATGTTTTTACATTGATTTCTCAATACTGACCCTCAGTCAGTTCCCATTCCTACCACTCCATCTCCTACCTCTGCATCTTTGCACAGGTTCTCTAAATCAACAAGCATTTATTTAGCACCTACTATGTGTCAGGCACTCTAAGAGCTGAGGATACTATACAAAGACAAAAACAGTCCCTGCTCTTGAGGAATGTCTAATGGACAACATGCAGATATCTAGTTACAAACAACACATATAACAAAACTGCAGATATCTCAAAAGGAAGACACTAAAATTAGGGAAAGCAAAAGGGCTTCTTGTAGAAGGTGGGATTTTAGCTTAGACCTGAAGGAAGCCAGGGTATCCAAGAGGCAGAGATAAAGAGAGAGAGTTCCAGTCATGAGGAACAGTGAATGAAAATGCACAGGCGTTGGGAGGTATAGCAAGAAGACTAGTGTCACTGGACCTCAGAGTACTTGGGAGGAGAACGAAGAGTAAGACTGGAAAGGAAGGAAGTGGCTAGGTGATTTAAGACTTTAAGCGCCAAAAGATTTTCTATTTCATCCTGGAGGGAACAGGGAGCTACCTGGAGTTTATCATATTAAGGGGATCAAATCTGCTCTTTAGAAAGATCATTTTGATAGCCAACTTAAGGCAGGGAAATGAACCAGATGGCTACTGGAAGTCCAAGTGTGAGGTGATGTTGGGCTATACCAAAGTGGTGGCTGTGTTAGAGGAGAGGGGGAATGTACCAGAGGTGTTGCAAAGGTAGAATCCGCAAGACTTAGCAACAGATTGAAAATGGGAAGTGAGAAACAGGAGTCAAGGATGACACCTAAGTTGTAAGCCTGGGTGACTGGGAAGATGGTGGTATCCTCAACAGTAACAAGGAAGGTGAGGAAGAAGAGAGGGTTTGGGGAAACATGATGAGTTCAGTTTTGGACATGTTAAGCTTAGGATTTCTATGGGACATCTAGTTTGAGATGTCCAATAGGCAATTGGAAAAGCCAAACTATCACCTTAAAATGCTTTCTTTACTCACCTCTCCCCAGTCAGATATGGGCAGCTAGGTAGGTGGTGGTTTGGAGTGAGGAAGATCTGTTTTCCAATCCAGCCTCAGACACTAACTACCCGTGTGATCATTTAACCCTGTTTGCCTCAATTATTCATCTGTAAAATGAGCTGAAGAAGAAAATGGTAAACCACTCCAGTATCTCTGCCAAGAAAACCCCAAGTGGGGTCACAAAAAGTTGGAAACCACTGAAATGACTGAACAAGAAAACAACCACCCCTATTAAGATCCCTAGCTGTTTTTAAAGCTCAGCTCAATCAATACCTCCCGTAAGAGGATTTCCTGATTGTGCCAGTTGTTATTGCTCCCCATCAGTTTTGGGGGTATATATCTCATATTTATTTTTGGACATGTTTCTCCTTCGTCGAATGTAACCTTCTTGAGGCAGACTCTCTCATTTCTATCTTCATATTTCCAGAATCTAGGAGAGCTCTTGGCACATAGCTATTACTTAGTAATAATGCTTATTGTCTTGAACTGACTGGAACCCAATTACATCACAGTACAGTAGAAAGAGTGCTGGATTTGAGACTATAGGTCTGAATTTCAAATCCAGGATGTACCACTTACTCTGTGACCTCTGGCAAGTCACTTACCCTCTCTAGCCCTCATCTGTAAAACGAAAGTTTTTGACCCAATAATCCCTGAGAATCCTTCTAACTCTAATAATCTCCATAAACTTTCTAAGGATCTTATTGGAAAATTAAGGGAAAAGTTATATTTCTACATACCACATAATTTCATAACAAATTAACTCTGTTAAGTTAGGTTAAGCAGAATGACCTTACAATAATTTCACTATGACTTTTCCATTCTGATTACAAATGTACATTTAGGACAAAGTGCTAAGCCCAGTATAATGGAAAGGATGTTGAGTGGAAGTCAGGATATCTAGACTAGAGTCCTTCTACTGACTGGTTGTATGACCTAGTCAAATCATAAAAAAAGTTTAATTATTTTTATCTGTAAAAATAAGGTGTGTTGAAGAGGGGTAAGGGAGATTATACTAGATTATTATTTCTCAAAACATGTTTTACAAAACCTGTTCCCAATAGCTGTGAATAGAAGGGTTTCTTGAGAACACTCTTGATGCTGGTTATGTTTTACCAAGGAAAAAAAAAAACTTTCATTCCTGAAAATGGTCCTAGGTTCTAAAATACTATATTGCCTTGTAGCATTAAGTTCTGGTAGATCCAAGCAGGAAAAGAATATAGGTTGATCCCACAGCAACAAGAGGTAAAGACAATAACACTGGTAACCCAAGAATCTTAAGAGGTATTGAAAAGTAGTCCAATCTTGTGCTAATCCTCTAAGTAGAAGGAAGGATGGATGACAACAAACAGATGAATTGTGATCTACATGACCAGAGAATACCATGATCAAAAAGATTTCTAGATATATATTTTTTAAAAAGTTGAAGTTATTTTGTCCCAAATCTTCCTGACTTTACCCCCAGACTAGACCACATTTATGACTTTCATCAATATTTCATGCCCTAAAGTTCCATGCTAGTCAAGCAAGGAGAAACCACTATGGACAGGGGGTCCACCTCCCTTATCACCACCAACAGCAACAATTGCTGAACCAACTCCTGCACAGAACCCTGGTAGAGGGCAGCGCCGCCCCCCCCTCCTCCTATGGAGAAGAGGCTACTCACCTTAACTGCCATTCCCCAGGCAGGCAAGCCAGCCTAGCTTCTTTAGCTAGGCACCGAGAGAGTCATGAGGCAGCATGTGTGGTAAGTTAAACCACCATCAATCACCACTTTGACCACTATCTCTCCTGATGGAGACAACCTCGGACCCTGAACCCAAGAGTCCTGGGAATATCTTTGCTGTCAGCCTAGTACCCTCAGCCATTATCCTGGGAAGCAACAGCTGTGGAGATGCATCCTGGCCACTGCTCCTGCAGGTGATAGAGACATAGCTACTTTTTTTTGGGGGGGGGCTAGGCAATGGGGTTAAGTGACTTGCCCAAGGTCACACAGCTAGTAAGTGTTAAGTATCTAAAGCCAGATTTGAACTAAAGTCCTCTTGACTTCAAGGAAGGAGCTTTATCCATCCCACCATCTAGCTGCCCCCTAAGCTATAGCTACTTAAGACCTGGACGGGAAAGTCCTTGTCACCAAAGTCCTTGGCAATGTCAAATGGCTCAGCATCAGAGACTGATGCGACTGAGGCACTAAGATGCGCTTTGTCAATAATACAGCCTAAGACCACGGGCCTTACTTTTCTATTTGTATCTCCAGCACCGAGCACAGCACCTGGTCCCTCGCTGTTGTTGTTCAGTCATGACCCCATTTGGGGTTTTCTTGGCAAAGACACTGGACAGGTTTGCCATTTCCTTCTCCAGCTCGTTTTACAGATGAGTAACGGAGGCAAACAGGATTAAATGACTGGCCCAGGGTCACACAGCTGGTAAGTGTTTGAGGCCACATCTGAACTCAGATCTTAAAGATTCCAATGGAGCCCAGCGCTCTATCCGCTGCATCACCCAGCTGCCCCGTCTGGCACCGAGTAAGCGTTTAATAAACGTTTCCTTCGTTCGTTCCTTCATTCAAGTGGCGCCCTGGAAGGAGCACGGAGCGAGTCCCCGACCCCCCAGAAATGCCATCCTGCTCCTCTCCCTGGGCCCCAGAAACCCCGTTCTAAAAGCCAGGGCAGGAATTCCCTCTTCCCGAGGCACGCTCTACCCCGAGGCCTGGGCCATCGGCCGCCACTTACCTCCTCTTCTTCGTCCTCTTCTTCCTCGCGCCCCGGAGCTAATTCACCCAGGGCAGCAGCGGCCATAGTCCCAGGGCCTAGGACTTGAAGTGCCTTTTCCCCCCAGCAACCCCCACCAGCGTCACGTGATCGACCACGTCCCCTGCGCCGCCATCTTAAGGGCGGGCTGCTGAGAAGCGACTTCCTGGTTCTCCGGTTCCGGTTCCCCCTCTTCCGGTGAAAGAACCCTGCCCGGCCCTTCCGGCGGAGCGGAAGGAGAGGCGCTCCGGAAGAGGGCGATCGTGAGCTTGACTGCTCAAGTTTTCCCCTCCTTCGTGTGCCAACTCTGCCTCCTGAACCCGGCTTGTGTCCGTCTGAGGAAGCGCCGGGCCTGGGGCGGCGTGGGCCTTGCTTATGTACCCGCCCAGGCAGCCCTCCTGTCAGGAATAAACGAACAATTGAGCAAGCATTCATTAAGCGCCTACCATGTGCCCTGGGAACTAGTGTATCGTGTTGGTAGTGTATCGAGTCGGTAAGCATTTATTAAGTACTTGCTGTGTGGGAAAGGCAAAAATAAGGTCTCCTACGTCCCAGATTATGTACATATACACGATGGCAGCCAGTGGGCCCCCCACAAAAGGAGAGACGTGGAAGAAGCCAGAGGCAGAATGCAAGAAAAGGCACTGGCCTGGGCTCCCCCAGCTGTAGTCTCAGCCGTCTCCGTCAGGGATTCGAACCCCAAACTTCTGACTTCACCTCCCAGCATTCTCTCAAGTCAATGAGCTTTTATTAACTGGCAGCCTGTCTTCTAAAGGCTTGAATTACCCCCTAAAAAAGAAGCGAAATGAACACCCACTTCTTCCCCAGTCTACGCTGCCCTCATCAAGTGAGATATTAGGTGAATGGAAAGGGAGACGAGTTGAGTAAGGAGAGAAAAGGAAGGAGTCTGGGCAATTTGTAGAAGATTGTTGATATTGTATAATTCAATAAAACTTGTATTAACCACCTGTTTTGCACCAAGATGAAACTAAATAATGTATATCAAGTACTTTAAAGTGCCATATAAATGCTAATTATCACTAGAGTTGTCATTACATCCCGAATGGCCACTGGGATGCAAAATGGGGGGGGGGGAAATGATATATCTTTGAAACTTAGCAATAGCTTACAATCACATTTGGAAGGGTCTAAACACAGATAAGCATGATATAGAGTGTCCTGTGATAGGGCCAAAGGAAAGGTCCAGACAGTGCTCTGGAAAAATTTCAAAGAGGGAAAGATCATTTCCAGCTAGGGGATTAGGGAATACTTCATGGAGGAGAGGACACCAGAACTGGGCTAATAATAGCCTTCTGTCTATTGAACTACTGAAAGGATGTTAGAAAGAAAGATCTTTCGCCCATCTGGCTTCTAGGTTCCCACTCCATTCGTGGCAACCCCATTCCAGCTGAGATTTCAGATCATGAGATATTGTTTAAACCTTGTTGGATGATATCTTTAGTTTAGGCCAAAGTTCTGATGTTCTACTTACCTATGGTTCTAGGCATGTCTGGAACTATAAAACACAACAGATCAAAAAGGTAATCCTCTTAAGACTCAGGCAGAGATGTGAGCTCATGGAATAGAAATGATTTAAGTTGAAGGAGGTGAGGGGTATATATATATATATATAGGCCCTGGAAACCCTCCCAGCCCAACTTCCCCAGAACTCTTCCACAAGGCCCTAGCATTTGCCTGAGCCTCAACACATACAAACCTTTCAACTGTGCTTGTATTGTGGCTTTGACCCTGCCCCAATCTCCAATTCTCTGTTACCTCTAAGCTCGCCCAGCCCTTCATTGTCTGGATGGCCCAGACCACTTCAATTCAATTCAATCTAGACCTCTTCCGTTTGCCTGGGGCACCCAGCCCTTCCGGATCATTCTTTGTTACCTCCCAGTACTCAAGCTATTATAGGTCACATCCTTGATCACATCCAGATTCTTCATTAAAACGCTCAGACTCCCTAAGAGTCTGTCTGGCCCACTTCTTTTGGCGATATAATAAACCTTGTCTCTGCTCAGATTCTTAAAATCTGGCCAATAGTGCAGAGTCATTAGGAATCTCGCTCACCCCAATCAGTGTTTTAATGAACCTTGTCTTTGGCTGAAAGAAGGCTTGCGTGGAATTCATTCGAGGCTGGACCCGCATCTTCTGCTCTTGAATTTTGGGGTTCCTAGCACACCTAGACCTCAGAGGGTGTACAATTGACTTAACCCTGGGTAATGTAATTGCAGTATCTGAGAAATGGAATTGGTGTTTAAAATAATATTTTCAACTCTGCCACTAGGAGGAGACAAATGAATTAAAGATTACTGTGATTCTGCTTTTAAAGCACTTGAAAACAATAAAATACACGAAGATGTAGTTCATCTTAAATCAATATTTCAGATATCCATCATTTCACTGGTGTGAATAGACAGATCATCATTTCTCTCCTGCTTTAGTAGACAGTCTTACCAAACTATTCCGACAAAAAAAAAATCACCTCTCGGTCACCCTTCTGGTAATGATATTTTCTGAATTTAGCCAGACTGTTGCCCTAACTTAGCTGACTTAGCTTTCAAGAATCCAGAGTTTATTTCTTAGATAAGATACAGCATTGGCATGGGACTTTAGTGAAGAGCAGTACCTCATTTTATTATTTTGTGTGACGAATCAAACATTACCTAAGATTATCTTTTAATGAACGTTAACATTTCACCTTAAAATCACATTCTACATTTGTATACCTTTTATTTACTTTAAGGATACCAGTCTTTCACAATAAAATGAAATCAAAGGAAATATTACTTTGTAAACATTAAATCACCCTGTGAATGCCAGCTAGTATTATTAATTATATCAAGTCTCATTGCCACAGTTCAGTGAACTAATATTTAGAGCTAAAAACTGAATGTAGGACTCAGTACAGAATTATATAGCCCAAATCCCATTTTTTAAGTGCTAAAGCAGGGTTTCCTAAAATGTAATTTGGAGGACTTTCAAGAGTTGGAATTCATAGTCTGGAGAATGACCAAGGGTTGGAGTACTAGTAATGGGTGAAAATGTGGGAAGGAGAGGACTGGACACTATGGCATTAGTAACCAGAGATATTCTAAAGCTAATTTTCTTTTGAGGATTTGGTTGCATTAGTTCCATATTGTATGTTGAGGCTATAAGTTGCAGAAGTTGTCAGTCTGCATCAGTAGAGAAAGCTTACAAATTGGGAGTTTCCTGTGTGAAATCACAGGTGTATACAGCTTCCCCCCTTCCTCCCCTACCCCACCAAAAAAGAAAAATTGCTGTGTAGAAAGACAGTCTCAAAGTCAGGAAGATTTGGGTTCATTTCTCACTACCAAGCTGTGCGACCCAACAAGTCATTTATCTCCCAATTCCTCGGGCAACTAATTTTCTAAGACTATAATTTGCAGAACAATTGCCTCATCTGCATTCCCTGAGGAAGTTTCCTCAGTAGGAATTTCCCTACATCAGTGAAATCACAGGTGCAGACCATGATTATTACTACATAATTTAGGGAGAGAATAATTATTTACCAAGGAGGGAAAGGATGGGCAACAGCCCAGAAGTATCCCAACTTTGATTTAAGGAAAAGAGAAAATTATCAACAATACCGAAATTAAAGCTGGTTTAAGAAAATTTTGTGGTATCCTTAATAGCTTTAAAAATTAGAAACATCTTACAAAACAACACTGCCTTCTAATATGTGACCTTGAGTAAGTCACTCAGCTTCTTTTAAAAATGTTTTATTTTTAAATTTTGAATTTAAACTCCAAAAAAAGAACATTTCCACACATAGAACACAAAACAAGGATTGTATATGAAATCATAAGTCTATATTTCATACTGCTTTTTTAAAAAAGTTATGATAAATTTCATGAACATTACTTTATTTTTGTATTTAAAATGATTTATTGATTAAAACATTAATAAGCACTTACTTTTTACAAAGTACTAGAGATATAAATATAAAGGGAAGACAATTCCTGCTCTCAAGAGCTCTCTTTCTAATGAAGGAAATAATGTATGTGGAAGGTTTCATCTGCAACTCAGATGGAAATGTTCCATTGTCTTTAGGCTGCATCAGCAATGCAGATATCTAATACTTCTTTAATGTCATTAAACTAGAAAAACGGTAGCAGTTTTGCATGTTGAACTATTTGATAATACCAAGGACGTTGGTGGCAAGAACTTTCTTTTCTAGGTCTTCCCTAGCTGTGGCTGTAACACCTACATGAACAGTGTCCAGGCTGTTTCACCATAGTGTTGCTTCCCAGGGTGATGGCCAAGGGCTGTAGACTGAAAACTTCTGGTCAGGGTCCTGGGTTGTCACCCTCAGAATTTGAGAGAAGATAGTGGTCAAGATGGTCATGGTAGTTTGACTTCCCTGACAAATGCTGACTCCATTGTTGGTAGCAATAATGAAGGTGAATCCTTTCTCCACAAGTTCTTTCTTTAACGAACGCAAACATTACTTTCAAGACTGTGTGGGGTGTTTATGAACCCCCTTTTAATAATCAGAGACTTTTCTTAAGAAAGGCAAAAAGGAGTTTTATTGCTTTCTCATGAGAAAGGACACACCCCATGTCACTTAAGATGGCGCCAGCAAGGGAGTATGTGGGCATATAGCTTAGAGCAAATTTATATAGACCCTAACTCAGAACCCTGCCCACCCACTGGCTCTTCTTCCCATTGGCTGGGCTTCAGAGCTCACAGTCTAAGCATGGAAACTTCTCCCCAGCAGCAAGGGGACAAAGGACAAAAAAGGGCACAGAACAAGGAACAGTTTGCTTCAACAACTAGGGAGGGGGCCTGAGGAGGGATAGAATCCAGATGAACAGAATGTGGCTCTGTCACCTGATCTACTTGTGACACTGCTTTCTCGGCAAGGCAGCTTCTAAGAAATATAGGGCAGGGTCAGCTTTTATCCTACACTGAGAGGGCTTCTCTATTTCAGCATTCCATTCAATCCTGTTCTGCTTCTGTTTTTTCTTTTGAACTTCCTTCTATACTATACATTTAAAAAAGCCTGTTTCTGGGGGCAGCTATGTGGCACAGTGGATAGTGCCTCAGCTCTGAAGTCAGGAAGACCAGAGTTCAAATTCAGACATGTGATACTAGCTGTGTGACCCTACACAAGTCACTTAACCTGGACTGCCTCATCAAAAAAAAAAAGCCTGTTTCCATGACACTTTTTTTTCTTTTGGTATCAGTCATTGCTAACCTCCCTCTCTACTTCAAATTCCCCCCAATTAAAAAAAAATCAAAGAAAAAACCCTCATGTCACAAATAAGCATAGTCAAGCAAAATGAATCCAAATGGAAGCATGTTGAAAAATGTCTCTCTTTCTGTATTTTGAGTCCATTACCTCTCAGAAGGGGACTAGTAACATTTTTCTTTCTTTTCTTTTTCAAATTAATTTTTTTTTCAATTATAAAATTTCATTTTCCTCTTCCTACCAATCTTCCCATTGAAAGGACAGAAAGAAAAACA